GGACTGATGATTCCATGACGCTGCAGTCACAGAAGTTCCAGATAGGAGATTACTTGGACATAGCAATTACCCCTCCAAATCGGGCACCCCCTCCTTCAGGGCGCATGAGACCATATTAAATTCTATTCACTATTTCTTGAATTTATTTTTTGGTCAGTTGTGTGAAATAAACTTTTCCTTCCCTGATTATTGCCATTAAGCCTTTAAATTCCAAACAAATTATCATGCATTATCTATTTAGGAATTAGATTTGGATGTGCTATCGTATGGTTACTAATAGAAAGTCCGTATGTTTCAAGCCTTTCTGTAAAATATGAAGAAAAGTGCTCTTATCATTCTGTGTAAAACTGTACTGTTAAATATATGTATGTAATCAGCTTGAGTGTGCAAGTTAATGGAGGCCTGGGAGCAGGGTTTATACTAAGTGGTATGGTTAAGCCCACAGCGGGCAGAACAAGAAAGCAACGAGATTGTATGAAATCAAACATGAGTTTGTGGTGTAGACTGCTGTATGCAGTTGGAAAGGATGTGCGAGAGTGAGCTCAAGTGGCAGCAGAGGCAGTTTGGAATAGTATAAGCTGAGGCAAGTTGGAGCAGCTGTGTTGGAGGTGATTGACCTGCCTTGATTAGGGTACCATGACATAAAAGGCTAACAGGTACCACAGTGAGGGCTCCTTATATTTTTAACGTGGGGAATAGGGCATTTTAAAGGCTGGAACCAGTTCAGAGGAAACAAGGATTTGGACTTATGGTAAAAGTGGAAAGGTTTACCTTGAAGATCTGCAAATGGAGGCAGGGGTACAGGAGGAATTTTAAGACCGACACAGAAGCACTAAAGACAAGGTCAGGTTGAGTGAATAGCAGGTATTCACACATCCTCCTAGGTGCTGGTTACTGGCCTGCATCTGATTTGAGAGGCAGTGATTAAGACCAGTGCATAGAAACATTTAAATCCTGATTGCAGCAGTGGCTCTGTAACCTTGGATAATTTACTTGAATCTTTATTTTGTAAAATGGAGATAATGGCCTATAGGACTGTGAAGACTGAATATTTTAAAAGAGCTTAGAATAGTGCCTGACAGATGAGAAACCATAAATACTGGTTATTAGCTGTAAAGTGGAATTAAAACCGGAACTCTCCTCTTCCATGGCACTGTTACAGTCTCGTTGTGAAGTTTATGAACAATATGACAGAGTGTATTGTCTAATTCCCTTTGTTACAGTAGCAAATTGAAAATGTATATCCCAAAATTTAATAAAATTGCACTAGTTTTATCTGGTACATACAAAAACAGCCATTTAAAATCTAATGATTCTGTGGAGTTGGTGTTGCTGTTGGTCCGCAGTGGCAGAGACCAGCCTGGAGCCTATCTGGTGCCTCTTCTGTGCTGAGATTTACCCCAAACCTTTAGGTGGTTTATTCATTCAGATTAGATAGACTGGAGCCTTATTAACTATAAAGCCTTATTAACTTTATAGTTAATTTAAACCTAGCTTTTTGGAGAATAGCCATGATTAACTTCCTATTCATGGGGAGAAAAAAACCCTGTGATTTACTATGCAGATGAGGGTAGGAACTAAATAAAGCCCGAGTGGTTGGGCTGGTTTGTGAAATTCCACCCTTTGCTTGGTTCCAACATGGAATTTTTCCTTTGAAGATTTCAATATTCCATCAAAAGTACAGTTAGAGAATACCTAGTGAATTTATTGAATATAATGTTAAGAATCAAAAGACTTGTACTTGGTCCTGGTTTACCTCTGGGTTTGGTAAGTAACTGTGACTTTGAGTAATAACAGCTGTTTCCCCAAATATAAAATAAATAGTCATCATAACAGCCTCTTGGTCAGTGCTTTAGTGTCTGCCCTGGTTGCCTCATTTGCTCATAAGTCTTTTGGAATTGACATTTTCCCTTTGGAATATGTGAGTTATAGTACATAACATTGCCTATAATGTCTCTTTAGTGTTTCATGGTGTACAAAAGCTGGGACAGTTGTGCCCAGCTGATCACTGACTCAGGTAATGTTTTAGGTATCAGTTTTATGCATGTGATGGGCGGGTATGAATGGGGGTAGAAAGAAACATTATTAGGCTAGGTTTAAAATTCTCTGAAATTTAACTGATATTAAATAATAAAGAGCTGAACTTGATAAACCTCTTTCTTGTTCGATTAAACACACGTTTCAAACTTTTTTGTGAAACTGAGAAGGCAACATTCTAAATCAGGCTCATAACTATGAAGTGTTTACTTGTGCCAAATACAGATGGTCTACAACTTATGATAGTTCAACTTTAGATTTTTCAGCTTTGCGGTGGTAGGTAAGTGATAAGCCATTCACAGACGGTCCTCAGAATATTATGGGCTATGTCTCAATAAACCCACTGTGAACTGAACGTAAGTAGTGTGTTTTGACTTAGGATTTTTTTTTTTTTTTTGAGTTTCGCTCTTGTATCCCAGGCTGGAGTGCAGTGGTGCAAACTCAGCTCACTGCAACCTCCGCCTCCCAGGTTCAAGTGATTCTCCTGTCTCAGCCTTCCCAGTAGCTGGGATTATAGGTACATGCCACATGCCTGGCTAATTTGTATTTTTAGTAGAGACAGGGTTTCATCATATTTGTCAGGCTGGTCTCGAACTCCTGACCTCAGGTGATCTGCCCACCTTGACCTCCCAAAGTGCTGGGATTACAAGTGTGAGCCACTGTGCCCGGCCTACTTAGGATATTTTCAACTCCTGAATCGTTTGTCCAGACATGACCTCATGAGTAAGGAACATTGGTAGTATGCTTAGGAACGACTCGACCAGCATTATCTCATGTAACTGCAACTGAGACACAGTGACTATAGCTTCCATTTAGAGGTGAAAATCAGACCCAGATTGTGGGTCTACTTTAAATAACAGCTCAAAAGTGGAGCATTGGACCTAGGTAGCCAAAAATAGAGGATTAGTTGAAACAGTTCCAGAAATGTTTTTTCATACTCAGTTTCTTACCATCAGTTTATTACAGTCTGGCTTCCATCCATACTACATTGACACTATTGTAGTGATGCTGTCCCCTACAATTAGCAACTTTTGCCTAGAGTAAGTAGACCTCCTTTATTCAGTTTTTATACAAACCCAAAATGCCTCTCTCAAAAGAATGACAAGGTCCTAGTTTCCACTCTGAATGTGATAAGAGCAGCCAGATGTCTGCCTGTTTTGGCAGATTGCTGTTGCAAATAACTAATTTCCTGGAGTCTGCAATGGCCCAAGCTTGAAGGCAGTTATGTTTATTCTGTTAGGATTAATCATGACTAGGCAACTATTCTGTGAGGACAAAATTATGGATTCTCCCCTTAAGAAATCCTTAGGAGAAATAAGCTAAACATAAAAGTAATTTTAAGGCTGGGCATGGTGGCTCACGCCTGTAATCCCAGCACTTTGGGAGGCTGAGGTGGGTGGATCAGGAGGTCAGGTGTTCCGAGACCAGCCTGGCCAATATGGTGAAACCTCGGCTCTACTAAAAATACAAAAATTAGCTGGGTGTGGTGTTACACACCTGTAATCCCAGCTACTGGGAGGCTGAGGCGGGAGAATCGCTTGAACCCAGGAGGCAAAGAGTGCAGTGAGATTGCACCATTGCCCTCCAGACTGGGCAACAGAGCATGACTCCATCTTAAAGAAAAAAAATAATAATACTAAAAAGTAGTTGTAATAAGCAAAAGTCCTTAGCCTTGGAATGTTACGCAGACTTTATTATAGGAAGATGTACTGATATCCCTGCCTCATAAAACTTGGGAGGAGTCAGTGAAATTAGGGGAGAGCCTGGTGGGCAGTGAATGTTCAGTAAAGATAAGCTATTTTAAAAGGAGAAAAAGCATTTCTAGCAGCTCCACTTTGTACCTTCAGCTGTTTAGAATTTCCTGCCCTACCCACGCTAGTATGTCAACCCAGTTACCAACCAACTCATAAGAAAATGTAACAGGGTTTGGCTGGGTGTGGTGACTCACACCTATAATCTCAGCATTTTGGGAGGCCGAGGTGGGCAGATCACCCGGGGTCAGGAATTCAAGACCAGCCAGATCAACACAGTGAAATCCTGTCTCTTACTAAAAACAAATGTGGTGGCGCATGCCTGTAATCCCAGCTACTGGCGAGACTTGAGGTAGGAGAATCACTTGAGCTGAGGTTGCTGTGAGCTGAGATGACAGCACTACACTCCAGCCTGGGTGATGACACGCTGTCTCAATAATAATAGTAATAATGGAATTTGATGAAATTAGAGCAATATAAGAATGAAGTGAAACTGAAGGATATTCAAAATCTTGAAAATTTGGCCGGGCACAGTGGCTCATGCCTGTAATCCCAGCACTTTGAGAGGCCAAGGTGGGCAGATCATGAGGGCAGGAGATCGAGACCATCCTGGCCAACACGGCGAAACCCCTTCTCCACTAAAAACACAAAAATTAGGCATGGTAGTATGTGCCTGTAATCCCAGCTACTTGGGAGGCTGAGGCAGAACTGCTTGACCCCGGGAGGTGGAGGTTGCAGTGAGCCAAGATGGTGCCACTGCACTTCAGCCTAGTGACAGAGCAAGACTCTGTCTTAAAAAAAAAAATCTTGAAAATTTTAGATGAGTTCCTATTTTATATACCAGGTGCTATGAACCTGGCAATACAAAGATCAGTTTAACACAGATGCAGATCCTTCCTGAAAATCTTACAGTCTAGTAAGGAGGAAGGGATGTAAATATTGATAAAAGGTAGAAAGCCGGGTGTGGTGGCTCACACCTGTAATCCCAGCACTTTGGGAGGTTGAGGTGAGTGGATCACCTGAGGACAGTTGTTCGAGACCAGCCTGATCAACATGGAGAAACCCCGTCTCTACTAAAAATACAAAATTAGCTGAGCAGGTCAGCTACTCGGGAGGTTGAGGCAGGAGAATCATTTGA